TTGCTGAGGGTGCACTTGATCCCACCATCTGCATCACTGATGAAGATATAAAACAGCACTGGTCCCAGCACAGACCCTGACGGACACCACTCATTACCCGTCTCCATCTGGACATCGAGCCATTGACCACTACCTTCTGGATGCGACCATCCAGCCAATTCCTTATCCACTGAACAGTCCACCCATGAAATCCATCTCTTTCCAACTTAGAGAGAAGGATGTTGTGGGGGACTGTGTTAAAGGCCTTGCAGAAGTCCAGTTTGCCAAGACATTCCAAATATCTAACACCGAAAAATCATGTTATGGCCAAGAGACAAAAAACACAGATTAAACAGCCCATAAGTATTTTAAAGAATAGCCATACCCACCTGCTACATTAAGCTTTTCAACTGCTCCTAAGCTGGGAGCAGGAGTGGTAGTATTGTTGGTAGAGTTTGCTCCTGTTGCATTAAGCACAAGATTTTCCACCTTGGACTCCAGCTTCCCAATGCGCTGCAAGATATTATCCAACAAGACAGCAAGTGTCTTCTTCAAATCTACAAATGAAAATGAGAAGTTAAATCGCTTAATAATGCAATGCACACTGTCAGACAGAATCAGAAACAGATATAAGACTGGAATATATATATAGACACTATAGACACTTCCTCAGTGCAAACTGTTGTCATTAGCAGTTCTATGCACCAATGTTCCGCACTTTGTTCAGCCTCAGATACAAGATTCCCTGGGTGTGGAACTTGTCTTCCTGTGTATTTTATAAAGTGCACTGCAACTCATATACATACCCTGTATTCAAGGTGAAGTGTGCATCTTTACGCGTTCATACACAGGAACAAAAAAATGCATGCTTTGTAGCAGCCTAAGTAATAAGAAACTGCTTAAATAATAATGAATCTAAACCTAAATCCATATTCAAGCACTATCCCCCCCAAAAGGGACAGTTCTGAGCCAGTACAAAAACCTTCTCCTGCATCTCCTGCACCACAAGTTCTGCACTGGCAAAAAAAAAAAAAAATTTAAAAAAAAAAAAAAAAAAAAGTTAAGCTCAACCTTTCTGTATACACAAAAGACCACAGATCACCTGTTTCTTTTCTTCAGTGTGTTGGTGATTGCCTCTACCTATCTTTTTAGTCTGACACAGCAATTCCTTGGCATGGAAAGCAACAAACAATAACAGGAGTCTGTATATCAAACAACAACCCAGAAAGGAATTCTCTGATATTTTTTCTCTCCATTTTCTTTCGTTCAGATTTCTTGAAGTAACACAGACAGTTGGGCAAGCTAGAAGAACTCCGTGCCAGAGGGGAAAAATAGACCGCTATCAGACTAAACTGCGTAGAGTGGCAACAAGCCAAAGAAGATGAAAGTATGGGGTTTCGTTAATTTACCCTCATCTCAGGATTGAAGAATTTTATATGACGAATTTACATTATTTTCCCATTTAATTACATATAATAATTACACGTGCATACGTATAATACATTTTCTGCTTTCCACAACTTTAGAATCAAATAACTTTCTGATCTGTAATACAAAATTTCTCCATACATCTAAAGAGATTCCTCTGCCCCTACATCAGTTGTATTTTCCCATACTTACTTTGTGCTCCCTTTGTAATTTTTTTCCATGACTAGCCCAATTCTTGTGCAAATGAGAGAGTAAATAAGAAAAGGCTATTACTTTTAGAAAGTTTATGACTCTTTTTTTCCAAATAAAAGGAGAGTTACATTTATTCCATGAAGCCATAAAGTAGATCTTTTTCTTTATAACTGCGTGTTTTCCTTTGTCCTTTAAAGATCATAAGACGGGAACTTAAGCAGTAATGATCTGGTCTATTTTAAAAGGGGTCCAGAAGTCACTTAATGGTAGAGTGTCCAGAAAGAAAAAGAACATGTGGAGCAGGGATTTAACATGAACAAAACCATGGTACAGAAAGAGGAAAAAATCTAGGGAAAAAAAGTAGTTAAAAAAAAAAAAAGAGGAATGCTGAGGAAGAAACAGCATACATAAAGGCATACACAGATCATAAAGAGAAAAATGGCTAAACATGGTAATATTTTAATACTGATACCAAAACACTGATACAAGAGACTGCTTACCGAACAAAAAAGCAGCTGGAGGCTAGTTTGAGAAGGGGAGGGCAAAAGGACAGATTCACAGTAATTTTTGTAAAACAACTGTTTATTGCTATAAAAAAATCTAATACTCACTGTGTATATTTGGACTACAACTTTTAAAAGGGAAGTGTTTGATCCACCTACCTGACAGGTGAACATGGGGTAGAAAGAAAAAGTGACAAGATGAACAAGCTGTGCAATCACAATTAAAGAATGACTGAAAACCTTTTGGGTGGGTAAAGGCAGCCAAATCAAGCAAACTTAAAACTTCTTGAACATAGAAATCATGACTGTGCTCGCTAATAGCAATCAGAGGATAAGATTAAAAGAAATAAAAAGGCTAAATAGCAAGGGCATTAATTTTCAAGAAAGAGTGATCCAACTTCTACCAATTATCATTAACGTTAGTCATTAATGTGTTTATTCCTGAACAGCTAACCTGATCATTTGCTAACAACAAACCATTTGGCATGCCAAACAGGATAAACTAACTTACATATAAAGTAATTACTTTACTCAGTTTGATGAAGTATTGTTTAACATGGTGTTATTCACTCACCATAGCATCTTTCCCTCTAATATTTTAAATAAACACATTACCATTATTTTGCGTCCTTCCAAACTCCTTAATTGAAAACACCTGTCCAAACTTCTCTTTAAACTTAAAATTTGTCTTAGCCACAGAACTTGAAATTTCTACACATAACACAGCCTTACCTTCACAGAAGCATTACAAAGTTATTTACCCACTTTCAAATGCAGTTTAACTTCTCCCAGGGAACCTGACCATGGTTGGGCGGTGAGTGAACTTATTCCTCAATGGGATTTGGAACAGGAAATTAATGCCACAGGCAACAAGCTGCAGGGGGAACTTAGCTTACAGGTATCCTGTACCCTCAGAGCTAGCTAAGGCATGTATTAATGCAGTTACCCTTCCATTTCTGGAGACATATTGTTTGGCGGGTTTTGTTTGGGTTTTGTTTTTTTTTTTTCTTCTTTAATTCACCTACCATCAAGCACCCTCACAAGATAATGGGACACTGATGATGGCTATATAGCAGATAGGGCTTTGTTTAAGCCTATGCATACAATTCTCTAGGGACTTCTACTTGCTTGGAGGTTTTCAATCTAGATATTGATCGAGTACCACTCTATGTAGCTCGTGTTGCTTTGTAAGATTACAATACCAGTATAGTTCAACATGCAGTCACAAATCATTAGAGTTACAGAATAAGGATGGCTCGTTATTTAAACAACAAAGCAATGTAATTGTTAGCTATGTTTGGGATGATAATCTCAGGCTTACAGGCAAGCACCTTTGCACAAACTCAACCGTTCTCTTTTTAGAGGAAAAAAGTGGTAACAGAAAAAAGAGACATGGAGAGAATCACCCAGCAGGATATTTTCATTACATGCACCAAAAAGTAAAGAGTATTAAGAGAAAACTAGAGAAAAAGGTACAGCTATTATCTGTTGCATCCTTGTCTTCATTCTTTGTCTAAGCCTACAAAAATATCTATCCAAATTCTTCAGTGCTGAATATTAAGGCAACTATAAAAGGAAATAAATCTAGATCACTAATTAGCCATTACCTTTCCAGGTAGCCCAAAAGTGCATAGGTAAGCAGAAAGGAAAGTGACTTTAAAAAATGCTAAACAAGTAAGGTGTATGAAGTGATCTTATTAGACTGAAAAGGGGCAACAACTAACCTGAAATTGGATTATATTTTTATTTACATAATATCTGGTAATATGCTTTGTTCTTTTCTGCATGCTTTGTCTCACACATGCTCACAAACTTAACTCTCACATTGTACAAAATGGAAGGCTAAGCATTAAAACTTACTGCTGAACAAAGCACTGAAACCCACAAAAAGAGTTCTCTACCCTGAGGCAAATACGTTATATTTAAGCTTAATTTAAGCTTATGTGAGATAAACAAATTTAAAAGTCAAGTAAATTGACTGAACAAAGAAGTGAAATGGGAAAGAAGAACAAATAAACATAGCAAGTCTCTACTTTATCAGCAAGGCAAGTTCTTCCACACAGAATTTCTTAGATCACTGACATACAAACTGAAAAGCCTCCCAGGTTTCTCAAAAAGAGCAAAAAAGGTATTTTAAATGAAGTTCTAAGAAATAACTTGAGGCATACTAGATACAGCTATTAGACAGATGTAGTAAAAATAAGCAGACAACTTCATTTCCAAGTGACTGGAAATGTAAAATTTTTCCCATTTCATACTTACAAATGAAGACCGTTTTCTCTATCTGTGCAGAAAATCCACAGTGCAAAGTATTGTCAATCGAGCAGCATTACGAAGCAAAATGTTTCGACAGCTTAGAAAAAAACTTAATCAGGTTATCATGTAATCCATACATACCGTATGCTGTCACTGTCCCAACATAAGGTCCATCAACCACATTTTTATTTTCTTCGGCTAATGCTTTGATGTATCTTTTGCTGAGATCCAGAATTTGCTCACGCAGGACTGAACTGCTTTCGTGTTGCGTTTGCTGCTGAATAGTAAAATGCAGAAGCATCATTCCCCAAATGAAGCCAAAAGTCACCAGGAAAAAGCCGAGTTTCTGGGAGGACAGCTTCCATGGAGAGAATGCCATGATTCCCAACGGCCTCACACAGTTACTACAAAGGTTCCTAAAGCATGAAGCCAAACAGCAAGTTCATGGTCCAGGTATATAAATATCACAGAGCAGGACTCAGTCTTATTCCAACTCCTTAGTCAACGTATATCTGTATTTCAGTTCCATCCTGCTGCAAGAGGAAAGAAAAGCACAGTTACCACAACATATTAGAAGTTTTTACTAGCTATACTAGGTCTTCACTCTAACTGGTACAAAACAGGAGTAGACAATATGCTTTCTTTGTAAATGTTTAATCTGTATGTATCAACATTGTACTGCACTAGCCAGAGCACAAAGAAGCTGAGAAAAGCACTGGAAAGAGAACAAAGAGGCAGCGATGCGCCTGAGCAGGTGTAGAACACCTCTCAGTATCTGGATCAAATTCAATGCTTGAAGGAGTTTCTAAGCTGAATTTCAAGGTAAGGCTGCTTCTACATAATTTTTTGTGTGTGTGTACACAAAACTTTGTGATGTTGCCAGTGCAGCAATTTAAGACAATTCTCAACATAATTCTGTTCTCAGAAAACAAGTAATTTTAGCTGGCAGTGACACTGCTTGGAGTTCCTGGCAAGAGCTACAGCATATGGCTAGATAGGTGATCAGGAAATCAGACTCCCTCAGGGGTAAAGAGGAAAAGAGAAATCTACATTATTTAAGCCAATACACTCTCCTGGCTTACAGCGCCAGCAGACAGAAGGCTGGAATACTCTCCTCTTGCTCCTGTGTGGCCTCTGCCATGCATACTTACTCCTTATTCATAAAACATAGTCCAATGAGTTTGCTCTTTACAATTAAATTCAAAACACATAATTCTGAATGCTACATGTGTTTAGTATGTAATATTAATATTCTTGGAGCTTTTCACACACTAGGGAAAAAGAACTTTAATAACGGCCTTCAAGATACAGCAGGATCATCTTTTCATGGTAAAATCGAAGATAAAACCTGGCATAAACAATCCAAAGGCAAAAAAATCTCTGGGATGAGGGCTAGAGGCAGGGTCCTTAGCAGAAAACCCAGCGAGAAGAAAGGTAATTAAAAGGTAATTAAGTGTAACCTATCATGTTAAAACACAGATTGGTAAAATGTTATCCTTTTAACTTCATAATGCTCCCAGACAGGATTAGAGAACATAATGTTCCCTTCCATTCTGCACTTGCACAGATAATGCAGATGTTACTCTGTTTTAATAGGATAATTACACAGAGGCCTGCTAGCAGCGCTCTCTGTTTGTTAAAATTCCCTTTGGATCTTTTGCTTTCAGTTGAACCAGCAGTTCCGCAGAGGGACAGAAATGCCTTTGGACCATTCATCTTGCAACATGGCTTGTGTATGCATTTAGCATTATTGATTATTCTTGATCGTAGAAGTGAATATGCATTACACAGTAAACTAAACACAGACAGGGCAGTGGCTGTACCATGCATTCATGTTGCCAAAAGAACAATTTGTAGCCATTGTTTGCTTAAGGAGGAATGGTGCAGAAAAAGGACTTGCAAGTACAGTGAAAAAGATTATAAAGCCCTCAAGTTGACTTTTTCCATACCTAAAATATATCAATAAAGAAAATGAATGGTCTCGACAGAGAAAAATGAAGGACTCTGCTTAATGCTGCTCATCCACCATAAACTTCAGTTAATTTTCCAAGAAAAGGCAGAGGGAAGCTGTGCTTCTTTCAGTTTATTTAACTATAGCCTTGGGACACTCTTGGGCTGACTAAAAGGCAGAGAATTGGTATTTCATTAAGAAGTGAATGCTTTACTATTCTCTTGCAATATCCAGTGTGATAAAATACAGAAATATAGAAAATTCCATAGTTTAAAACAATGTAACAACTTTAAAAAGGAATCAGAAATATTCAAGATCAACTCCCTAAGTGACTTAAATTTCAAGTAAGAACTGACGTCTTCTACAGCAATAAGATCTGTTGTTTCAACAGTCAATATTTCTTTCCCCAATTATCAGTTGTTTGTGAAGTGGAAAACACTATCGCCACCATGTTTCAACAGACAAGTGTAAGGTTTTTTATGACTAGTTGTTTAGGGAAAAGACCTGCAGAACATAATTAATGTTAACAACAGCAATTAAAAAATGCAACTATTTCACGGTCTTCTTTTTAAAGTTCTAGAACAGAAACAAGGATGATTACAAAAACCAGTGTGTGTCTAACCTATAAGAATGATCTCCTTACATACAGCTGTTGACTTTTCTATGCGGTTTATCAACGGAAAAGAAGCCTTAAATCCACTCAAAAACTGTTAAGAAGGTAGACAGGAAATATTAAAGTTTTGCCATAAGAAAGGATTAAAATTCATTGACAGACAAGTGCTAAAAGCAAAGACAAACAAACAAACCCCAAACAAAAAACCAAACCCACAAAAAGCCTCAACACCACAAGCCAGCCCTTTTTTTACTGCCATTTAAGCAATTCCAGCGGATAGCAACTTGATGAATGCCCAACAACATGTATGTTACTAATTAACTTCACAGCACTGCTGGTGCCCACAGAGGTTTGTAAAGTGCACAGGAGAAGAATCTCTGTCCTTCCCACCGCTTCTACGGCCAGATGCACACCCACACTGACTTCAGTATATGTTTAATCCTAGATTTCACAGATGTCAAGGACTGCAACACAACTATTACACGGTTAATGATTCTCACAAACCTATAACGACTCATTATTTGGTACCTAAGTGGAAAGGGGTCAGAAGGTGACAAGGACTTATGTGGAATGCATGAAGACAGCAGCACAGAAACTTCTCTGTGGTACTCCTGTTTTGACAAGAAAGTAATAACTTAAGTGAGCAACAGTTGAAGCAATAAACACACATTTGTCTACAGTAATCACTCACGGACTTCGACAGTCCCTGCTGACTAATTAGCTTTCTGCCCATACCAAGTAAGCTACTCCCAAACTTAAGGTGGTGGAGTATTTCCTTTATTCTTCCCCTTGTCTTACAAACGTTCTCAAAGGAGCTGATCCTGTTAACTATCAAGGCCTTTTCCTAGTCTAGTCTCCAAAATGCACAATGGGAGTCACATCTAAAGAGGATATGGAAACACATATTTGTATGTGCCTCTAAAGAATGACAGGCACTTTTTTTTTTTTTAAGCTTTGGAAAGAGGTGGTCTCACTCTAACACACGTCTTGAAATAATTCCAGCACCTCTCTGGAAACTGGGTATGTCACAGTTGTGAAGTTGTTTGTGAAACCGTTAGGAAGATAATTCCTCCCGATTTACTGAGAGTAGCTAATGTACCAAAACTAAACGCCAAGTGTGAAAAACAGGGTGAAACTGAAAAGATACACAAAGCAAGAAAACCTTTAATAAAGAACAGCTTTGTTATGTTCTTCCTTAAATTCAACTCTAACTAGCCAAAATCTCACAGCAACTGAATCAACACACTGGTGTTTTGTTTTGTTTTTTAAAATAGACCAGTTACACCCTTCGTAATAAACATACCACAATTTAAAACAGAACTGCCTCTACCCTTAACAAAAATGATTAGCATATTCCTTTGGGAAAGAGCTAACCTTACACCCACTTACATAGGCATAAGAATTTTAATAGTCTTAGTACTTTTAGTATTTCAAACAGCTTCATTAAAACCACATTTTTTCTGTTCTATATTTAATAACATCCTGCTCAACAGCTGGTCAATTCACTAGTTACAGAGGATGACATCACCATGCCTATGCCATCACAACAGAAAAAATCCCTCATGCTATTTAGAATCATATCGGGAATGTATCCCAATGCTAAAGTGATCAGTACATCAGGGATGCAAACCACACATTTCTCAGCATTTGACACCTTTTTTTTTTTTTTTTTTTAAAATGCTTAAAATAGAGTACAAACAGTTAATGTTCATGTGAATAGACTTCGGTGACACATATCTATATATTCCTCTTCACTTTTCGAAAAGGAGAATTAATCATCTACAAGAGATTCAGCAAAGTCTCTTTATAAGTACATACATATACACAGCTTGACGCTCTCTGTCCAACCTGTGCCTATATAAGAAATGGTGCTCACTCAGGGTAAACTTGGAACAGCACTGTCCTCAGGATAGTCAGGATTCGACTGTTCATCACTAGCTCCACAGTTGTAAAACCTTAACTCTCTGTAGTCAAAGACAAAGCTGTTGCCCCCATAAAATTAGCAGCAGATTGAGTAATATTTACTTATTAGCTTGTTATGGACTCAAACATAAGCAAACTTATACAGTATGACTACCAAACAATGTAGATGCATTTTTGTACCACGTGGCTCAGTTAAAGTAACATTGCCACTGTTAGGAACAGGCCTCAGACGTTAAGCCAACTACGTTCCTATGCCAAATGGACAAGGCCCAAATTCTGGCCTCTTATGCTTAGGAGAAGTTGTGTGAACTAGAGGTGGGTACCAGGTGCCTCTTATTGTGGCACACAGCTTAGGAGGTAAAAACAAAGGCCTTGAAAATACCAGCACAGGTTGAAAGCAGAGGCCCCAGAGCTATAAGCAAATCAGTGATGGTCAATTACTAGTGTCAAAGATGAAGCACAACCTCGAGATTTGGAAAAACTCTGCTTTTCTTTCAACAGCAGCAAAAGCTGAAAAGCAGGAATAAAAGCGCTAAGCAACAAGAAAAGGCCTTGAACATCTCACTGTCAAGGACCATAGCTATCAGTGCTATAAATACATGGGATCAGCTCTGTGGTACTGCGTGCTCACAATTAATTTATAATGAGACTGTTACAGACTAATTGCTTTGAATATGCAGTGGCAATGACTAGCAATGAGTAAGAACTATCCATCAGCAACATGTATTGTTAGTAAACACCAATCTAGTGGTTTTGTTACAAAGTTTAAAGCTGGTTTAAAACACTTTAGTTTTAGGAGCCTTCTAAACCTTCAGTCACAGCAATCTCTCGTTCTCTCCTTACAGATCTCTGCACACATCTAACACGAATTCAGTTGCAACATTGTGCCACCGTGTCTGACCCCGCACAATCTGTTATTGTATCACAACCAGCTCACAGAGGTACTCTTAAAAACCCACACATCGAGATACTAACACAAATACAGATCTATTTTCCAGACTTTTTTCCTGAAGAGGGCATGCTGCACTTCTGTTTGCAACTGTTA